GTTTCAAACTGCATAGAGAACCACGTTCTCTGAACAAAATGTCAACAAAAAAATTTGTAAGAAACTCCGTTACCCACTAGGACACGTCTTATCTCTAAGTCGTGAAAATCTCAATTTCTATAAGAGAAGAATACGAAAAGCTAAAATAAATCTAACTTCTTCTGCAGAGTAAAATGCACCTCAAAAGTTAAGCTATATAAGTTTATTTTAGAAAAAAAGTCTAACTTTTTTTTCTCTTATAAAAATAATTATCGAAAAACCCTATGCAAACAAAACCTAGGTATAAAATGCACGAAATTTGATACACCGATTTAAAAATAAAAATTAAACAATATCAATCGCAATTACGAGGTGATTTGTAGAAGCAAAAACTAAAACTAAAAAAAGAAAGTTATAATTAGTCTTACCCTCACTAATTGCTGCACTCCTGCCAAGACAGAGGCATATGCAGCAGCTCCCGGATACAAACCCCTTTCAGCGCCAAGTATGGAAGTTAAAAAGACGATGGAGCCCCCGGCGTTGATATCCCGCATCCTTCGGCCAACAGCTTTTAACAAGAACCAAGCAGCCATAAAATTTATCTTCACTATTTTCTTAAACTCACTCTCAGCTAACTCAATATGCTCTTGCATTTTTCCTGTCAAGAATTGTCGGAAGCCCAATTCAATTAAGCTCAAATGTTCACGTTCGTTCCTCAAGCAACAATACCTCTTTCATGTCATAACAATTTACCTTCGTAACTGTAACAGTTGACAAAAGCATCCAATTTCCCCAAAATCTGGCATGCCTGATCAACAGAGTGTTGGAAAACCGATTCGCTCTGGTCTTCCATGTTCAATTCAACGACCTGCACAGTGCCTTTGTCAGATAGGGAAAGGGAATCCATGATTCTGTGCGCGATGCTCCGCAGGCAACTCTCATCTCCCAGCAAAACCAACCTGAAGGGATCGATCATGCATTCCAAATAAGAAACTAATAAAGGAAGAAATAGCAAAAAGTGTTCGGAAGCGAGAGAGTTCACCTGCACCCTTGCTTAGCTAAATGGAAAACGATACCCTGCGAAACTTCGTCGCCATTTGAGGTCAGCAGCACTTTCTTCCCTGACTTCTCCATTCTTCCTCAACAACTTTCTGGCTTGAACTCCAACCAACTTTCTCAGTCAAATCCTAATTAGCATATCAAGTAAAAGAATAAATGCATTACAATAGAAGAAAATTAAATATTTAAAAATTAAAAAATGTAAGAATGGTATTTTATTAAAATAGTTTGTTATATATACATACATATACATACATATACATACATATACATACATATACATACATATACATATACATATACATACATATACATATATATACATATACATACATATACATATACATATACATACATATATATATATATATATATATATATATGTATAAATGTAAGTTAAGGTAACCTTACAAGGTAAATGTAATCTATAACTCCATACATGAAATATATGATGGTGGTGAAAATCATATACATCTGAAAGACTTTCAACTTAGATGAATATCATTTTGTATCTTTACATAGTCGTTTTCCTTCTACAATTTTTGTGATAAAAGAATGTTAAGGGCTAAATATATTTAAATAGAACTTTCGTCTGCAAAAATCATTTTTGATAAATAAAATTTAATTTAATTAAAATGTTTATCTATTATTTTTAAAGTCATATATGAAAATATATATTTTTTAATTGTTTTTATCAATGATTCATTTTGGAAGAAGAGTAAAATTTTGCGTTCCTCTAAAAAAATTTAGAAGAACTTGCAATGATTTTTATTATTTTTCACTGTGAAAAAAAAAATGTTTTCCATCACACATCATTCAATAAAAATTTATAAATTAAAATTTCCATTTATTTATAATTATAAATTAATTTTATTTTTAATTAATTATAATTAATGTAGAATTAAATATTAATAAATAGTCTAATAATATATGAATCAATATACTTAATAAATAATAATTTTTACTAAAATATATTCTAACCAAGTTATAAAGTTAAAAAACAAACTTTAAAATCAACTAAACTTTATAAAATTAATTTATAAAATAAGATTTGTATTTATTTTTATATACTGTGAATGTTAACTTTTTATATAATTTTTTATTTAATTCTTTTAATTTTTTGTTCAATATTTTTTTCTCTAATTAGGAAAAACTTGTTTAGGTTTGTATGGTAATAGCGTGACAGGTTTTTACTACACCTTATATATAATTTTAGCCACTTAGATAAAAAGATAGACAAATCGTGACAAATGCAAATAACATAATGCAATAAGATCAGAGGTAAAATAAGTTCAAAGAAATTAATGACATTTTCCAAACATTTAGAATTCTTTAAAATCGGCCTTAGGTTGGCAAATCTATCTGTTATGAACTACAAAAATTTATTATTGAAAAAACCACATTCAGATGAGCAAATTTGATAAAATGGTTAAATATGTTTTTTTAATTTTAATTTTTGATATAAAATTAATTTTATTTTATTTTAAATTTTGATATAATTTAATTATAAAAATTTTAAAATAAATAAATATAATTTTTTTAATTTAGTATCTTTATATTTTTTGTTTTATAGTTGTATTTGATGTATCAAATAGTATAAAATAATTTAAATATTAGTTTGAAATACTTTTCAGCATATTAAATAAATTTAATTTATTAAATTCAAATTTTAAAAATAAATTAATATAATTTTTTTAACTCATAGTTAAACATGTTAAATAGTATAAAAAATTCAAACGTAAATATGAAATATTTTTAACACATCAAAAGAATCAACTCCATTAAATTAAAATAATTGTATCATTAACTTTATATTAAAATTTGACTAGAACAAAATTTGAAATAAAAATAAATTCTAATTTTATATTAAAATTTAATAATTAAAAACGAATTTAACCTTTGAAATATACTTTAAAATATAAAAAAAGGTATAAAAATTTTACTTTTACTTCACATTAATAATAATGAACTAACACAAATTTATGAGATTGAAAATTCCCACTCCATCAATACATTCCATTAATAAATTTACTAGATTAAGAATTACTACTCCATTAACTTTTACTAATGAATATTTTCTTTTATATTATTTTAGGACAATACAGTTAACATTATTATAAATTTAAATTATTTTAAAACTATAATTTTAAATTATATTTTATAAATATTTACGGAATTAATAGTTTAACTAGTTATTGTATTTAGCACATAATAGAAATATTTTTAAACAAATAAGTAACTTGCATTGTTAAAAGGTCCATGAAAAACATAATTGACCGCGTGAAAAATACATTTAGAATAATATATACAATTTTAAAAATAAGAGTGAAAATTTTTATAATGATACTTCTGCAGAAAACCAAAAGAATTCATTTCATCACTACATATTATAGTTATGAATCATAATTTTTCTGAGGACATCACAAAAAAGCAACTAATTGCCACATAAATATACTCTTATTAACCATATTTGAAGTGATAAAAATAACGATAAAATATTCTTATTATCTCAAAAGAATATTAACTTTATTTAGAAAGAAAACATAGAATTAAATACATAAAATAATTAATATTATAGAAAATTATACTAGTGCTTTTAAAAGTTCTTTTACTATTTTAAAATCATTACTTTTACCTGCATTTAATGCACATTAATAATAACAAAAGATATATTTTATTATTTCTATACGTTAGGATTTTATAATTGATTATTGTTATTTTAAATAGTTGTTATTAATATTATCTTAAATAGAATGGGAGAGAAGTAGATATAAAGTAATTCATATAAAGAAAAAAATATAATATATAAAGTGGCAACAAAATATAAATTTACATAAGTTGTGACATATAATTGTAAAATCATATTTACATGAGAAACTAGACGATCATGATATGTTGAATGGTTTAACTTCTATGAAATTATTACTAATAATTAATTTAAAGCAATGTATGATTATTTACAATTAAATCGTAATTAGATCATCATAAATCTGAAACTTATTTTAAAAGCTATAAATATAATTTTGAAGTAAAGAGTTAGATAATTGCATTCAATACATATTAATTACTGTAACTGTAGAACACTGGTTGATTTTTGTATCAAAATATCTTTTATATATAACATTTCTCGTGATTGAATGAAAAACTTTGAACATTAAAACATACATCATGCAAAGAGAAATAAGATAAATGAAGATAAATAATTATATTAATTAATTATTTGAAACTTAAAAGTAATAGGTAATATTACAATTATTTGAATTGTCTTATTGTCATTTTAGATTGAATTAAGACATGTGTCATTGTCATTATGAATATTACTGCAAAACTTATCTTTTGTAAGAAAATATTAGGGTAAACAAGATTTTCTTGAAAAGTTTTATAATGAAAAACATGTTTTAAGATTGAGTATACTTAGTTGACTATATTAAGAAAATATTTGTTAGCAAGTTGTAGCTTTCATGTTGTTATTATTATATTGTTTGGGAAAGTATAAACTTTTATATTTATAACTTAAAGCAATGTGGGGTGCAGAAAGTAAAAACCTTACATTGATAACTAATCCATTGATGATGCCTCCCAAGGTAAGTTTTTAAGAGTTTATTCAGTTTCTTAACTATTTGTTCAAGATGACTACAGTATTAAATCAGAATTACAAAACAAACATTTTTTGTTAACAATAGTATTAAAATAGTTTCTAAAACACTAGATAGATCTAGAATCTCTCACAACAATCTAAAATTCCTCTTAAATCACGCGATAAAATACTCTCCAAATGCGTCGTCGACTCGTATTTGTATAGAACACAATGCATTTGACTCAGGGACTAACATGAATATGCTTGTGCCATGAGCAGTTTAGACAAAGTGCTATGCCATGGCAAGCTATGACAACCTTCCTTATCATGATTCTGTCATAGACTGCAATGACATCACTGTTAATGATAGTGTAACATGAGAATACACTAATGATAATCCATAAATTATAATATTAAACGACAAAAACATGGAGTGACAGGTCCAAGACAGTAAATCTTTGTCCTAATACCTAAATTTGACTAAAATCTAGACAGCACTAACAACGACAGATGAGAATTTGTCTGCAACAATATTCTCATTTCCTCTTCTTACTGGGTGGCTGAGGAGACTCCTCCTCCTCTTCTTTCTCATCTTCATCATCTTCATCTTCATCTTCTTCATCATTATCTTCTTCATCATTATCGTCTTCATCATTATCGTCTTCATCATTATCGTCTTCGTCGTCGTCATCATCATCTTTGTCATCTTTTTCACCTCCAAAATTGGCCTCGGGATCATCATCAGAATCATCTTCCTCCCCGCCTTCATCACCAGAGAAATCCTCGTCGTTGTCATCATCTTCTCCATCATTAATGTCATCCTCGTCTTCCTCATCATCATCATCATCAGTATCGCTACCATCCTTATTTTCTTCACAAGTATGTTTTCTCTTGCATAGTTGGTCAAAGGGAAACCTAACCACGAATTTTAAAAAATAAGTATAAATGGACATTTCAAATTAAAACAACCACAACATCATCCAGGAATATATGTTCACTATTACCTTCCATCAATTGGTGACACTAAGTTATCCACAGCTGTAAGAAGAGATCCAGTCTGAGGAAAAAAACAAAGAAATTAACAATCTTTGCATCAACACCAATGTAGCAGTTTGTATACCGAACAAATTACAATCTCACCCAAAGAAAAATGGACCTGTAACAAAGCTTATGACATTCAAAAAACAAGCTTGCAATTATACTACTTGTTCTCAGCATTACGGTTTGATAATCAGGGCACAGCTTAAAGAAGATGTGCAGTGATGCAGAATCAGTGTTCATAACTTCAAACAATTCCAATAAAATTTATCGCAGAGCTCTCTACCTTAAAAAAGAAAAGAGGGACAGCAAGCAGGACACCGGTACATTGAATTACAGAGGTTATAAAGAAGCTAAAATTTCAGTTTGACAAGTTGAAACAGCAAAAGCATCAGGCATATAGCAGACATAATCAACGCAATACACAGTTTAAGAAAATTAAAAATCCTTCTTATTAAAAAAATCCTTCTTGACATATTACTCCACAAATTATGGGTGATAAAGGTGACATTATAGATGGAAAAACATCATATTAACTATAGCTAATACAAAGACACGTCATAAACCACATACAACATGTTGAGCAGCACTATATAATTCTATGCAAAACATCACTGAAAGCTAACAAAAAATCAGCAGCACGAGTGTTGTCAAAAACAAAAGGATCTAGCTTCATTCATTAATGATTGCCCTTATTCAATACTGGAACGAAAAATGTGTTCTAGCTACTCTTCGATTCCAACTTACGAAGAATACACAACGAAAGCCTCACTCATGAAATTAAACATAACGGACTGTCATTCTCTGGCACCCACTACCGAAAATAATGAAGAATCAGTATACTAAGAGCAGGTTTCCTCCACTGTTCCAATATACTGGCTCTTTTAACCTACTCTTTCTAACAAAAACAAAGTTCTCCATTTAACAAAAAAGTAAACAAAAAGGTTCCCAGAAGAAATACACAACCGTATTATTTTAACAAAGAGGCTCTAACACTGAAAGTATAAGAAACATTTCAGTGAACGACTTAAACTAAAAACTGAAACACATGGAAAATTATGTAATCCCACATGAGCAAATAAAAAAGTTGTAGCAAACATAGATAAGTTGATGGGAATGTGAACGTCCAATGAAATTAAAAAAAAAAAAAAAAAAAAAACTTCTTTGAAGAAATGTAGTACCATGAAGAGAAACGTGAACAAGGATTTGACAGTGGTAAGAAGGGTATGAACCACCAAAGCCTCCCCCAACGCGTGCTCAGAGGTAACAGACTGAACCTCCATTGTTTCTGCTACACCTAAAATTTGCTTCATGAAACCCAAAATATAGAGACAGGATATGAAAACAATCTGCGGGAAATGGGGTTCGTCCCGTTAGGGTTTGGGATTCAAACTGATGACACAATTTCCAATTATTAGTTGCCACGTCATCTCTAGAAACACCAGATAATTTTAAAGTGATATACAAAAACATTTTGTTATAAAAAAAGTAGTATTAATTATTTATAATATTATATTTATATATAAAAAAAATATTTCAAATTTTAACTAGATGATAAAATTATTTCTTAGTTTTAACAAATTCAATTACCCATAAATTAATTAAAAACAATTTATTAAATAAATGGCGTCCAAAATTGAAATAAAATTATAATTTTGCTGTTAATGAACAAGGATATTGTATAATTTTGATAAAAAATAATGTACCGTATGGACCGGACGGTCCATAAGTCAACGGCAGGATTGGCCTAAAACAAATCGGCCTAACACTGGACCGACAAGACCAACTACCAAGGAAACCACTCATGACCTCGAAATCGACCGGATGCAGTGTCCAAATTCATGGACGGCCGGCTCCCTCGGAGGTCGGCCGGTCGGTACGATAACTTAACCAGATTAAAACTAATCGCGATTAAAAGCTATTAAGTTGTATTTGGACTGTGATTAACTATTCAGTAATCCAAACCTATAACAAAAACTATAAATATATATAAAAGAGTGCGAATGACAGAAAGACTATGTGGAGGCAGCAAGTAATAATTTGGGATATTGCACAAATAATAATATGCAATTTGGGATATTGCACAAATAAATAAATTCTTAAATTAATGAATAACTGAAATAAAATCACGTAAGAACAAACAAATTGTTCTTTAAAGAAAAGGTCGCGATTTATGGGGAACTTTTTTAAGATTGTTCTACTTTTATTAATCTTATTAATTCAGGAATGGACCAAAACAAATTAGGATTAAATATTTGTTCAAACTCAAGATTGATTAGCTTAAATTTTAAAATTATTTGATTAATCTCACATAAAGAAACTTGTGAATACATATTTCTATTGCTAATAAAATTATGGCATGACGATTGAAAAGGTCACTGATTTGGTAATATATATCGAAAAAATGTGTGAGCTCTTGTTATATATATAACTCGAATTTAATTAGATTTATTTTAATTTAACTTTTAATTATAATATTATTTGGGTAAAAATTTAGAAAATTGGTTATGGAGAATTTATATGATGTTTAAATAATAAGATTATATTATTTTGATATTAAAATAATTGTAATTATAAATAGAGATTTCATTAAAGAGTTTACTTATTTAAAACACATATCTTTTTAAAACTTATTCTTTAAGTTTATCTGCATTATTTCTTTGAGTTCTAATAGTTGAGTAATCTTTTTGAAGATCAAGAAGTGCACACGTGATCACGGTAACAAGATTTTTATTTACTTAAGCAATTTTCTCAAAAGAGTAAGTTTTTACTCTTTTTTTTTAATTGTAAGTTTCTTCCATCCACGTGAATGATTTATTGTCGCAAATATCTTCTTAGCTTTACAATATGTTTCATGTTGATTAGTGGTTTTAACCATGTACCTTGATCGTGATTTCATGGTGTGTAGGTACATATAGAGTTGTTTAAGTTGAGTGAGCGATTTTAGGTCATTTAGAGTTGTTTTATTTTCTATCAGGTAAGGGGCATTAAATGTTTGTTTATAAAGTCTTGTTAAGTTTGATAATTTGATTTTTGGTGTGCTCTGATTGGAATAAAATTGACTTGGTTATGGGGTTGAGTAGATAGCTTGCTGAAATACTATTATATGATATTACTAGTGCTTGAAATTGATTTAAATGAGTATTGTTTGAATTTGTTAAAGTATGGTTGTGAACGTTTGTCGATTGTTACATGTTTTTTTTATCACTTAAGCTGATGTAATTGAGGTATAACTAGGGATGACAACGGGTCGGGTCGGGCATGGATATTGCCTACCCATAACTCGACCCGACAAAAAAAATTCACTCGCTACCCGCACATATACTCGCTTAAAAAATACCCGCGTATATTTTAAAACCCACAGATACCCGCAAATATTTTAAAAAATATATTTTTATAAAATGTTATAATAAAACTTAAATAAAATTTCAAAAAATATATAAAATATAATATATATATATATATATATTAAATTAAATATAAATTAAAATTTAATTTTAATTACATTTAACCTTATAAAGTATAAATTAATGTTAATTTTAATTAAATTTAACTTAATAAAATATAAATTAATTTTTTTTGCGGATAGCGTGTATCCGCGGGTAGGGATAGTATAATACTCGCATCCGACCTATTTATAAGCAGGTATTAAAAAACCCGCTACCCGCAACCCACGGGTAGTAAATATCCGCGGGTACCAACTATCTGTCGCGGATTTTATACTCGGATATTCGCGGGTGCAAATTTTTTTGTCATCCCTAAGTATAACTGATTGGAAACTGTTGTTGGATCTTGGTGTAGTGAAAGATGGGAGTTTTGATTGGTTTTGGGTCTAATTGTGTGTATCTCTGTTGGGGGTTACAGGTAAAATTATAAAGGAGTTGATTTAAGAATAAACTTGATGTTTGAGGTTTATTCTTAAGTTATTTAAAAATTGTTTATCCACTTAATTTACTAAAACATGCTTGTAACATGTAGAATGTGATATATGAGAACCGCTCGGTTCAGATATCCTACTATACACTTATAGTCTCAGAAACATTTCTTTTAAATATAAATTTTCTATAATAACGTTTATTTTAGGGTTAAATATGTTTTTAGTTCTTAAACTATCAAAAGAATTTGTTTTTAGTTCCTCTTTCAAAATAAGGTTTTTTTGAAAAAGAAGAACTGAGATGTACTTACTTTGAAAGATGGACTAAAAACAAATTCGTTTGATAGGTTAAGAACTAAAAACATATTTAACCCTTTATTTTATATGTCGTGATAGTTGACTTAATACCGTCTAACTAACGTTTTCTTCTAACAACAAAAATGGTTTAAAAAATATAAAACATATTGTTAGAACCTTTTATTTAAAATTATTGTTATTATTATTACCATTACAGGCCCGACCCGAGAGTCGACGATTAAGAATAGGGTTAGCTGAACGGCGCAGGAAAAGTAAGCGGAAGAGCGGTTTGCAAGCTAGAAAATGCTGAGAAGAAAGCCAACAAAAATCGAAGTCAAGATCGAAGACAAAGAAGAGCTCGAGGAAGCTCGCCGACGCAACGCTTCCGTCACCACTGCCACCACTACCGCCCCCGCTGGCACCACTTCTCTCCTCCGTCAGCTGGATCGCGGCGGTGAAGATCCCGCTTCCAAGGCGCATCGTATTGGCCTCTCCTCGTAAAACCCTAGCCTCAGTCTCCCACCTTTCTTCCCCAATGGAAGTCGAAGTGAAGCTGCGCCTCGCAGACGCCACCGCCCACCGCCGTGTCACCAGCTTGCTCTCCCCCTTCCACGTCGTCACCCACCGCCAGAAAAACCTCTTCTTTGACGGCGCTGCGTCCGAGCTCTCCGAGCGCCGCGCCGTGCTGCGCTTGCGCTTCTACGGTGACGACGAGCGGTGCGTCGTTTCGCTGAAGGCGCGAGCGGTGCTGGTGGACGGCGTCAGTCGCGTGGAGGAGGACGAGGAAGATCTGGACCCGCGGGTCGGGCGCGAATGCGTTGCAGAGCCTGGGAAGTTGGGATCGGTGGAATCTAGGGTTTTGCTGAGGGTGAAGGAGGAGTTTGGAACTGAAAAGGGGTTTATAGGATTGGGAGGGTTTGGGAACGTGAGGAATGTGTATGATTGGAAGGGATTGAAATTGGAGGTGGATGAAACTAAGTTTGACTCTGGGATTCTCTATGAGATCGAATGTGAGAGTGCTGATCCCGAAGGAGCTAAACGGCTCCTTGAGGAGTTCTTGAAGGAGAATGAAATTGATTATTCTTACTCTACAGCCTCCAAATTTGCCATCTTTCGATCTGGAAAACTGCCTTAGTCAGTGAAATTTGCCTGAGTGAGTGAAATTTGTGTACTTTTGAGTTTATGCTCCTGCTGTTAAGTGTCTAAGAATAAAACAAACTCATGTCATATGAGCTGCTACTATTATTAATTTGAATCTGCCTAGTTTTTTCGTTTATGAATCTATATTGCAAATAGATTGTTCTTTCATTGGTTCTAAAATGATGCTAACTCTTACATAACTAGTAGTTGTGACACGCATCATTGGCGCGGTTTATATTAAGACAAATTTTCTCATTTTTACTGTGTTAATGCCTGTACTGCTTTGTTCTAAGAAGAGGATAGGGAAGGGTACATGAAAAATAATCTAATTTGCTATTATGTTATGTGTTTAGGATTTAGGATGGTTGAATGAAAGTGAATACAATTATTTTGCTTAAGGGTTAAAGGCAAACTTAATGCTCAGTCCTAGGATATATGTAACAATATAGTAACGTAAAGGAAGGGAGGACAGGTAATAACAGAAATTCTGCTTGTATAACCACCAAAACTTTTGATGAAACAAAGAATTTCAAACGTAATGAAAAAGAAATACAGACAGAATTTGCGGAAAGACAATACAGAGAATGTCAAGTAATTACAGAAATTCTGCTTGTATAACCACCAAAACTTTTGATGAAACAAAGAATTTCAAACGTAATGAAAAAAAAAATACAGACAGAATTTGCGGAAAGACAATACAGAGAATGTCAGAGCCACATATGCTAACTTTTTTCCCCACTCTGTCGTGCTAGTGCTACATATATAACTTTTGAAACACAGGATATCAACCAACTAATTGGTTATTTTGGGCGGAGTGCCACCTTATTCCCTCCTCGTTTGCCATGTGTATTACTGCCTTTGTCCCACAATTTCCCTCTGCCCTCATATCTTCAGCTATACTCTGTTACAATACTTTATTATTCATCCGAGCAAAGATCACGATCCTGATACTGACAAAAATATATGTTCAGTAAGGAGAAGAGCTACTGGTATTGTGCTCCTGTGATGTGATTTGTCTTACGGGATCAAATTAATACAAGCAAGCTATTGCTAACAACATGCATGCCACTGGCGTCAAGTTTACCTTAGTCATAGTAAGGAGTTGTAGAAGAGATTCACTAAATAGGAGGAGAACTAGTATAACTTGTATGATAATACATAAAATCATGTTATTGTTACGGTGACTAATGAGGGATGTGAGAAACAAATTAAATTGTTAAGTGTTTATTATGAAAATAAGCTAATTAACGGTTATGTATTTAGGATTGAAAATGGTCAAATAGGACTTAATACAACTTTGCTTAATGTTTGAAGGCAAAAACAAACTGAGAAGATTCATTGTCCTGTTGTTTTTGTCTTGTGAAACAATGCTTAATCCTTGGGTTTATCATTGCCGCAACTAAGGAAAAAGGCCCTTGATTATGCTATACAAGCAATGGATGCTTCTATACAGAGCTGTAAAGCAGGACAATTTGTTACGTCTGTCTTTTCTTTCTCTGTTTCAGCGCTTTGCCTCAGTGTCCGGGGTGAGAATAGGTAAGAGGAAGAGGGAGGCAACTGAGGAGTTACTTTTGCTGATTAATGTCGGAAGGCTGAATTAGAGGTTGTTCTGAACCTACGAGAAACTGTTTTGCTCAAGCTATGCTTATCTACTAATCTGGTTTATAATATCAGTACGAATAATATGTTTGACAATGTGTGGCAGAGAGGTATTTGTAAAGGAAAGCATGCATATTTAGTCTGTGGTGAGCAACTATGAGGCCATTGTTGTTTTTCTGGTTTATATGGTCCAGTACGCAGAAGAAGTTGGGAAGAATTGCAATTTGGTAGGGGTTGTGTAGCCGGCTACTGAAGACTGTTTTTCCATTTGAGGTTGAGGACACAGCATATCATATCATATGCAGTATATTATGTGAAGCCTATAAGCTTTGCAGTGTTTGTAGTATCCAAACCTATGGTTATGCAATATCAGCAGTTACTAATGTTATAAAGTTAGGATGCATGCAACTTAATAGATAGTCTGCGTAAGCTTGTAAGTAGAAAGATACTGAGGGGTTGAAAAGGGAATGTCAAGATAAGCTAGATCTATAGTTAGAGGTTTGTTTGGTAATCCTTTCTTGGCTATATGTATAATGTGTTTATGGTTCTTATTTTACCATTTTATACCATTTTATGATATATCAGTTGCTTGCTGATATAAAAAAAAGAGCTCGTTACAGAATATCTTCAGTGAATTATCCATCACAAATTTAAGGAGAGGAACTACTGTGCTCCTTCCGTATGTATGTTCTGCTAGATTTTTTTTTGGAAGTGATTTTTCATGAATAAAATGACTGGATTGGGATTCATCTCAACAAATGGAAGTGATTTAAGATAATTTAAGCATATATTTTTTTTTATGGTTTTTACCTAAACATTTTCTCAAGTACTTCTTTACAGGTTATAATCAAATTATTTTTATTTGATGTATTTTCCTACTTGGTTACATAGTTTTCTTCCCAACCAAGCTATTGTGGACAAGTTTCCACAATTTTCTAACCAATAGTGGTTCTAAAAATTTAAGTTTCATAGTGTTAAGTTAAGAGTTCAATTTTCCAGTAAACTATTTACCTTTAATTTTATCATTTAGCTTTTGTTATGCAAAATTAATTTATATTTATGAGATTTTTAAGTGTGAAAATATTCTCAATGTGAAAATTTTATCATGAAGTGGATTTAGTTTTATGATTCTAGCATTCATATTACTTTGGTCACTCTTTTATTTTATTTTTTTTAAACTATGCTAGCTTTTTTCATTAATAATTAATTAGTATAAATTTTGTAAGAAAGAAATGATGTCCATATTATTATGTTTGTTCCTTTGTATTATTAAATATTTGATTATTTGTGTCTAATAATTATTTTATTTTCAAGTTTTTCCGTTAGCCTAACATAAAAGGATGATGCTAAAATATGAAATATCAATTTGGTGGGATATGTTACTAAGATCACAACATGCTTTGAAAGAAATAACATCAAATATTTCATGTTTTCTTAACTATCAATAAATTTCTTATGATTTCTCAGTATGTGTTGTATTGTTCTGTAAAATAATGTGTGTTGTTTTATTGTATACAAATTTAACTTCGTGTATGTATTATATTTTATTTTAATTTTCAATTTTTTTATTGTTTAATTTTTTATCCCATCTAAACAAGGTTGTTTATCATATTTATTAGCGGAAGTGTTAATTTGAATATAATATTTTTTAAAAATATAGAAAATTTATTTATTCCTACTAATTTTATCTTTATTATTATTTCAGAAAATCAACTTATTAAAAAATAATTAGATTTATATAAAATAAAGATTTCCTTTATTTTTCTGAGTAAACTATATGTTATATATTTTTAATTCTAAATTTTATTCAGTTTTTTTAATAATGTTTCTGAGTTTATCCATAGATTCATTTATTATAAAATTAAAAATTTATTAAGCTATGTTACTTAAAAAATATATAAACTTAAAAATACATATTTTCTTAAAAACTCTATGTATATTAAAAAAGAGAATAAATAAACCTGAATTGATTTAAAAAAAAATTCATTTTTGTTTTCAAAATATGTTTTAATAATTTAAATATTTTACTTTTAAAAAAATAAAAAAATTTAATGAAAGAAAAAATTATATAAAAGCCAATTGAATGTTGAACCAATTTGCTTATCTGTATAAAAAAATTTAGTGTAATTTTTCACTCTTATTATTGAAATGGATAAATATTTTAAATATGATATTATGTTTATCAGTTTGAAAAACTCGTGAGAAAGAAAATATAATTTTAAAGTAGAGTGATTATGACTTTTGTATAAATAATAAAATAATTGAATAATAGAGGTAGAGGTGAGGTGAAATATTTTGGTGCGGATGAATAATGGTATGTAAATTCTTAATGTCCATGTTCACATGTCCTAAATATGAGAAATGGAAAATATGACGTTCAGGTCTGAGTAAATTTAAAGTAAAAGACAAATTGATTCAATTAATTTAAAGTAGAATACAAATTGATTAAATTCAAAATAAAGTTGTCCCAAGACATCACAACTTTTGGTTAAACTTAAATTTAATCTTTAACAACTTAACATTTATATTGAAATTTTTCGGACATTTTATTTAGTTTGAAGTTCTAACATTTACATTCAAATTTTCGGACAATTTCATTTTATTTAATTTGAAGTTGTATTTGAAACAAAATTGTACAATTTAACCGTATTTATAATTTTTAAAATTTATTTTCATTTTTGTGCGTGCATGTGAATAAACCAAATATGTCTCAATAATTTATCATAATTTTTGTTATATTTTTTTAGGATTTGCAATGTTTTATTATAAGAAATTTAAACTATTTTCAAATTTAATAATGATAATTATAATTTTTCTAATCAACTTTAGACAAAACTCTGACAAATGATTTACACAATTTTATGGTCTGTGTTGAATAATTTATATGTTTTGTATTTATTTAATTAGATAAAACTTATGATATGTCAAACTTGAATAACTTTAGAAATAATGACTAGAATATTAGAACCACAATATTGAGTGAAATAACTACTATGACCTTGATTTTCTTCAATAAAATTAGATGTATTAATTTAACTCATGACCATGGGTCAATCTTAACCATTCTTGAATAAGTTTCCTTTTATAGGACCAACAAATGAAGGGGGCCAAAACATAATTCAAACTTCCAAAGCTTCCTCAGAGTGGGTCAGAGTCAGGGTAATTTGGTCCCACCATACTTGAAGCGAGACCAGTTCACCTGAACCAAAATTGAAGATGGAATTGCGTTGATAGACAAAATTTATAACTCAAAGGTCAAAACAAGTTGAAAAGGGAAAGAAGTCGACATTGGACGACTTAAGCCAAAGGTCAAGACAAGTGAACATGAGTTAAAAGTTGAAACATACCAATTTAAGTTGAAGGTCGATACGACTCAATTCAGGCTAATAGTCGAGACAAACTAACATAGGCTTAAGGATAAGACAGACTGGACCATACTGAAGGTCGAAACAACCTATCTCAAGCTAAGGTTGAGATAAACTTGTGGGGTTGAAAATTAAGATTGACGAAATCAAACCCAAGGTTCAAACGAGCTAAAAAAGGCACACCAGACCAAAGGTTGAGATTGGTATATCTATACCGTATGTCAATACAGTTCGACTTGAGTCGAAGGTTGTGATAAACAAACCTAAGCCGAAAGTCAAGATAAGTCATGTCAAAGATTAAGATTGATTGGTCTAGACTAAAGGTTGAGACAAGTCGATCCATAAAAAAAATTGAATAAACCAATCTGAACCAAATATTTAAAAATATATTTTAAAAAAGATTAATATTTTTCTATATTTAAAGAAAAACACATCAACTGATCTAACTAACAAAATTTTTGAGAACATTTTAATGATATAGACATTTTTTGAATTTAACTTTCTTAACTAATACTTTTTGAGTTATGAAATTGATTTGATGATCCAAAAATAAAAGAGAAAAAATGATTGGTTCAACTTATTTCTTAATAAATAGTAATCACTAACATTATCAATTTTAAAAATACCCTTTTTAACGAGGGATTTTTTTAAATCTATGGATTTTTTTTTTATTATGATGAAGAGCCTCTGCGGTGAGTCAAATTGACATGTATATATAAAATCATGCACTATCACAATAATTATTTTTTCTCTCAATAATTGCATGCAATAAATTATCTGTTAAATAATCATGCATGATAGTAATGCGAAAATACGTCTGTTTTTATCATTTGTTTATATGTGCCCCGCAAGCAGTTGTATTCAAGTAATGTTATTTGGTGTTACATGTTTCACTCTATTTTTTATAAACCACTCCAGCACAAAATAAGAAACACTCTCCAAGGTATAAATTTTCACCAGGATACCGAGCAAATTTTTTTTTTACCAGCATTTAGAATAACAAAAATATGAATATAAAATACAAAATTTTATAAGTGAAATATTATAGTTAAAAGAAATACGTGAAAGGAATCCAATACATATACAACCAAAAAAAATATCAAATCTAATTTTTTACACAATAATTTAGTGCCATAAAATATTAAAAAAATAATTATTCTATTTGGCTTATTCTTTATACTTTAAGCTAGATAAAAACTTTATACTGGGCCAAGACATAGATAACTGAAACTGTATTAAACACTATGATAAATCTATCATTAAACCAAAGAAGCAGCATTCAATTTATTTATAAAAATAGTATTAATAATGACATTAAAAATATTAATTCATAATAGTATCAAAAATGGAAAAGAAAATGGTTTTTCCTTTTCAAGTTATCACATTACTTCAAAACATTCATAAATTTAAAAACACAACAATAATAAAATTGTAAAATCTTTAATTTAATCACTTGAATCCCATACCATTGATTTTCTTTCTTGTAATTCATTTTATTAAGTTTCGTTCAAATTTTTATTGTACTTGTTTTTGTTAAATAATTTATTTCTTCTGTAGCTCTTTTGACAAAGAAGTATTTAAATTAACAAAATTTTAAGCATATGTACTTTAACATTAATTAACCCTCTTAGAAAGCTAAGTTGGATAGTACAATACAACCACTGTACATGTACATTACTGACATTTCTATTATATTAAAGTTAAGTAAAACCACAACATGCCCCACTGACTCAGTACTCATCTAGTTTTTGCTTTTTATACAATTGGGTTTCAATAACTCAAATAACTATGACAAGACTAAATAAAGTAGGCAAAAATTAACTCAAATAACAGACAATACACATAAATTGAACTTTTATATGTGGAGAAGGCTCCACTGGAAAGTTGAAAGAAACTTTAGTTCGGAGAACTAAGATTAGCTAGGGCTTATATGGCAGAAAAAGAAAACACTGTACCATCTACTACACTTTTACTTCCTCTTCTTAGCAGGTGGCTGTGGAACCTCTTCTTCCTCTTCTTCATCTTCATCTTCGTCTTCATCTTCATCCTCTTCCTCATCCTCATCTTCATCTTCATCTTCTTCATTATATTCATCACCATCTTCGCCATCTTTTCCACCTGCACCATTGGCCTCGGGATCATCCTCGGGCTCAGCCTCTTCATCACTTTCACCTGAGAAATCTTCATCTCCTTCCTCATCATCTTGATCATTTGCGTCGTCATCATCTTCTTCCTCCTCGTCGTCATCTGACTCGCTGGCATCCTTGTTCACAAGGTAGGTATGTCTTCCCTTGTAGAGATCAGCAAAAGGAAACCTGAGAAGAATCGGCATACATCACTGCAAATGTTTCCAGACATAAAGCATTGTTATATTTTCCAAAGTGTTGCTTAAACTTATTCTCACCTTCCATCTATTGGGGTCAATTCTGGGGTGATGTCAGTCAGCAGAGATCCGGCGGTCTGGGAAACAGACATAATCATTTATACCCACCCACTTCTATATGAAAGCGTGAACTACACTAATGTGTCCCATAAAAATTAACCAAAAGGTAGAACACAAACCAAACTCATGACATAAACAAATCATAACCCGTGGCCTAATTATTGTATGGACTTATATTGTTACAATAAGAAGCTTCATCAGTAGCTTCCCAAGCAAGCAATCATGATGCGAACTGAACTCCGGAGATCACAGTTCCCTACTGAACACCAATCATGGTCGCACAAAACAGAAAAGAAAATATCCATGTCTATTTTCACGAACAGAATGCATAATATAAATTTAGCACAATTCAAGGAGAAGAAATTTCAAAACAAGAAACCAATGCAGGCACCACTCACATGAAACTCCACATTAGAAAACTGTCCTACTGTTAAAGCATTGTCAATGTTTTGCTAGAACCACTGGTTAATTTCTTGAAGGAAATATCTAGTCAATGTGATGGTTCTATGAAAATCAGGTTCTAAGGTTTCGTTGACCATGTTACACAGACAAAAAGACAAACACAGCACTTAAAGCCAATCAAGCAAAAGAATGACCAATGCAGAAGAAATCAGGTTTAACGTAAAAAAGAATCTTAATCAAATTACAATAATTCGATTGCTTTTAATTTGATCTGAAGAAATAAATAAAAAAGATGATATTTTAAGCACTCTATTAACAAAAAACAGCATTGGTTTACACGAACAACAAACAAACTATCATTCTTTCGCACCTGACTAATTTTTTTTTGATTCGGAGCACAAATAAACGGACCAACTTCTGTAATCGAACACAACCAGCAGTCTAGCAGCATCAAAGAACAACAATTATGAATAGGGTTCAGCTGCAACCAAATCCACCCCCAATCCGCACAAAAAAGGAAGCAGAGTATTTTACACGCTTTCCCCCCACACGAATGAAAAAAAGAATTCACTATCAGCTCCCGTTGACTTTGACTACAACACAGAACGGTAAGATTTCAGGAAAAAAATCCCTAAATTCCTCCCAAGATAAGAAGTAAAAAGCGAAATAGGCGTTAAAATTCATGCGAGTAGAAAAAGTTTTGATGAACCGAAAAGAAATTTGAAAGAGCGTGTGAATTATTGAAAGTCTGGAAACACCAATTGTTCACGCCGTTAACGATAATTCCACAACATGGATTGGGCATTTTAAGAGTTAAAATTAAAAGGAGAGGGTACGAAGGGAATACCAGAATGAGAAGGCAAAGGAGAGATTTGGCGGCGACAAGAATTGTGTCCACCACCATGGCCTCCACAACAGAGGCGGTGCGCATGGTCTTCTCCACCGTAATGAGAGAAGATAACTCCTCCATAGTTGTAAGCTAAATATTCAGAAATAAAAAGGAATGAAAACGCAAAGAGAGAAGAGAGGAGGAATCTGAAAGAGAGTGAAGAGAATGGAAGAGAGAGATTCGAAGTGGGAAAGAAGGGGTTCGGTCCGGTTAGGATAAACCCTTTTGTCGGTCCAGTTAGGGTTTTTGACAACAACAAATTGCTTATGTCACCCCAATGTTAATGAATACTTTGGCCAGGGTTTTATTATACAAGAAAAAAAAATCTTTTTATGTATTTAATATAATATATTTGTTAAAATTCCAAACCATTCCCAGGCTGTGAGTAACTGAAATATTAAGAAATATAAGAGCAGGTGTCGAAAAAATCATATAAGAAAACATTAATGGTTAAACAACACGATCTTTGGTAAAAAAATAAAAAATAATTATTTTGGGGGCAGTTGATGTATGCCATCCATAATAAAAAATTATTGTTCATTTGTCTTCTAGGTATTTAAAAATGATTTTAATATATGGATGGATGGTTAATTACATAAAAGAACCGTAGAGAAACTAATTTTAGATAGTAGTAAAAGTCATTTCATTTATTTAACTTTTGTTGTTAAAAGTATTTATAGATATGAAGATACTAAAAATATATTGTGATGAATTAATTAAGATATAAAGAAAAAAAAAATGGTATAGTTTGGTTCGATGCAGAGGAAATGGAGTGACAAACAGAAAGACACCAAGTGGCGTGGCCTGCTATAATGATATCTATGAATAGACTCCTCTCTCTCATCAAATCTCAATTGCTATTGTCTCTTTGATTCCTTTGTATCGTTCAGAGAGGGTCAACAGGGACGGCCATGACCCAAACCCTCTCTTTCTCTCTCCTTCGTTCTTTATCGCCTTCGCAGAAAAACCCTAGAAATTAACCAACCAACCAATCCTCTTTTCTCCATTCCCCGAATTTCTTTTCTTAATTTTCGTTCAATCGCCAACCCCTCCCTCCAAGTCAACGCGGGAACCCCTAAATCAGGTTTCGAAAAGCTCGATCTATGTCATCCGAGATCGAGGTCGTCGAGGAGGTGCAGTCGCGCGATGAGCAATCGCTGACGTCGGGAGGCGCCGATAGCGTGCCGGAGGAGAGCCTTCGGAACGACGTGTACACGGCGGCGGCGTACGGGGATTTGGAGAAGCTGCAGAGATTGGTGGAGCAAGAGGGTTGCCCCGTGACCGAGCCCGATGGGTTGGGTTACTACGCGCTGCAGTGGGCTGCACTCAACAATCGCACTGCCGCTGCTCAGTACATCATTGAGGTTCTTTGATCGGTTTGTTGAATTGCGTTTGCTTACTTTTGCTTCTCGAGCTTGTCCCTTGGTTTTGCCCTTTGTCTGCTCTTGCCTCCCTTGTTTTGACATTTACTTAATTAGTGTTTTTTCACTGCAACAAAAGAAAATAAAATGTAGGATTTAGTTTCTCGTTGTTGTTGTTTAAGGAGGGGTGTAGATGTAGGAAAGAAGATAATTTGATGATGAGGATGAGTGTCATGCTCTTGGTTTGAATCTGTTAAAGTGGCCTAGCATAGCTCGGTTTGGGTTGTTGATCATGTTTATGCTATGAAATGACTTGGCTTGTTTGTGGTGGAATTGAATGTATGCATTGAAATTTGACTTGTTTTCTCTGTTGATGTGGCGCACGAAATTGAGTTGAGTGGTTGGTTTGTGGTTGGCAGCATGGGGGAGATGTAAATGCAACGGATCATACTGGCCAGACGGCCCTACATTGGAGTGCAGTTCGGGGTGCTATCCAGGCTGCGGAGCTTTTACTTCAGGAGGGTGCTCGAGTGAGTGCTGCCGACATGAATGGTTATCAGGTTAGATTGATCTGAATGTTTTAATCTATATTACAGTGATTGCTGGTGGGGTAAAGCATTTAAAGTATTTTTTTAGCTCTTATACCTGGTTTTCTGCATCTGGTTACATCTGGGAAATTGGTAGTTTAGGGTTCTTGTTTTACTTGAAGCACATGTGTGCAGCTGTAAATGTTGTTTGCTAATTATGATGTACTTGGACTCAGACAACCCATGTTGCTGCACAATATGGTCAGACATCTTTCCTTTACCACGTTGTTTCAAAATGGAATGCTGATCCCGATGTCCCTGATAATGATGGAAGAAGCCCCTTGCATTGGTAATAAAAGATCTGCCGTTCAACCTTTCTTTCTATTGAAATGGATGTTCTCGCTTTTCTATTTTTCCTCATTTTTCTGTAGTCAGGCGGCCAACCCGATAACTGATGCTCTGACAAATTATTTGTTGAGTATGTGTCCTTTGACACTATTATTACTGATTTATGATGCCTTCTTTTCTTCAAGCAAACTGCAAATATTGTGGTTTGGTTATTTTCAAAGTAGATCATAAACCTAAAAGGGTATTTGGCATATTTGACTCAGAATACTATGTAGGGAGCATTAGCCCAAGTTGAAAACCCTTTTTAGCCTAGAGGGTCTTAATTAACTGTCTAATACGTGAATGGTTGTTATGAACATCGTGAAATTTCTCTCGGCACATTTTCCATGTAATATTACCCAGCATGAAGGATTATTTTGGAATTAAAAGGCCAGGAGACATGTGGAATACTTCATTTATATTACATATGTAGCCATGTTCTTTATATTTATACTTGGAATTCTCTCAATAATACATTGGTCATATCTTCACCCAATTTGACTCATTTCTTTTGTATCTCCGGATAGAAAGTTGCGCCATGTTTTCCTCAGAAGTTTATTGTACAGTGTTACCAAATTAGTTTCCTATGTGCTATTTACTGGGTTGCCTATTTGTATTTTCCCTTCTAAATAAATTTTGAATGATTCTGCTTCAGTGAAATTTTTATATAATTCTTCAGTATTTTTGTGCTATACTTTATGCTTCCTTTCTCACTTGAATTTTAGGGCTGCTTACAAAGGGTTTGCCGATTGTATACGTCTCTTGTTATTTCTTGATGCACATAGGGGACGTCAAGATAAAGAGGGTATGTTTCAATGCACTATCCTGAATTCCTTTATTTCTCCTCAAACTAATCCTTCATTAAATGATGAATTCATCTTTTTATTTTCAAAGCATAATTATATTTTTTATATTTTTATATTATAAGGTTGCACTCCTCTTCATTGGGCTGCTATTAGGGGGAACTTGGAGGCCTGTACTGTGTTAGTGCAGGCTGGCAAGAAGGAAGATCTGATGGTGGCTGATAATACAGGCCTTACACCAGCACAACTGGCTTCTGATAAGAATCACAGACAAGTTGCTTTTTTCCTTGTAGGTGTTTTATAATCAACACAGTTTGATTTGATCACTAGTTTGCTTTCCATCTCTTTACTATATTCCCATCTATTGTAATTTGAGAATTGGACTGGTTGTGGCTTATTTTCCTGAAAAGCATCTGTGTTTATTGAATTTATAGGATGGGCGCTTGAGTGGACTGTGTATGTTCATATATTAACCATTATGGATATCCTGTAGGGAAATGCCCGAAGGTTGCTTGACAAACGTTGTGATGGGAACAGCCGCCTTGGAAGAATTTCCAAATTAGGACTTGCGCCCATCCTTTGGTGCATAATTTTTGTGCTCTTGGTTACTTATATTCATTCGGTCATCTTGGGTATCTATCTTGGCTTCCACATATGGAATCAATTTTGTCTGCATATGAGCACTTGCATGCATAATTATTCCTTTATTTTGATGGATGTCTCACTATCATTTGTATCTTACTTTTTCCTGTAGCGACAAAAATGCCAAAGCTTACAGCTGCAGCTGGTCTTCTTGCATGGTTTGGAGTTTTGCTTGCAACTGTTGGTTTGGTTATGTTTTACAAGTGTAGCAGGTAAGTGATGTGCTCTTAAATTTTACAACTTCACGAGAATACCTTCGATGTGATTAAATACAAGAAAAAGATCTTTCTTCAAGAGACTTCTAGGATTTTCTTCCTGCTGTTATATCAAATCTCTATTTAATTGGATAAGGATTATTGGTGGTTTGATCGTGCAACTCATATTCTTTAGCAATATATAAATTTTTGCAATGTGTTGTTCAATTGCTCTGATGGTTCCAATCCTCTTTTCTACACAAATTGTTTAGAGGAAAAGTAAAGGGTAATTTAAGTGAAAAACCATTGGAGTTGAGTGGGATGTATGACGAGTGTTTCAGGTGTTGTGATATTTGGTTCAAGTTCAATTATAAGACCCTCAATGTCATATAATATTGGGTGGGTGGTAACAGGACAACAGCAGAAAAAAAAATCATTGTGGTAGAGATCATAATGTTGCATTGAGTGAGTGACATACTTGATAATATATGATTGGGAATGAATAAAATCTTGCCTTTGGGTGGTTTTGATATATGTGGAGTAGACTAGTAGCTCCCTATTAAGGAAAATAGAGCATGGGTTGGATGTAGGGTAGTCCTGATGCTAGAGCAGAATGAGATCAAGAATTATATGTCAGTAGTTTGTCTATACACTGTAGACTTGATTTACATAATAACATTTTTGCATTGTTTGAACCATGTTGCAGACCCTGGCTTCTGAGAAAAGGCTAGGGTTCTGTTACCAGAATCCAGATTAATAAAGACTATTTCGTGTGTTATTTTATGGTACAATCAAGTCTAGTCTAAGAATCTCTTTCCTTGCTACCGTAGGATAGCTAGGTAATACAGTCATGGGTTCTCACAAGTATGACTGTAACCTGTATGTTTACCATAATTCCATTCAGTGATGCCAACTTCTGGGTGTATATCCTGAGTAGCTTCTCTTTGAATGCAAATTTAGTTTTACTCAAACAATCCTATAAAATCAACTAGTAAGATGGGATTTATTCCCCCCCCCCCCCCTCACACACACACACACACACTGTATATATATATATATATATATATATATATATATATATATATATATATATTAATTTGACCATTTAGTCGATATAAGATTCTCAACAACACACACTTCACACCGATAACTGAACATGTTAAGCATGAAATTAGATATTGTGGGTGGTGTTAGACTTTCTATACCATCTTGGAAAGTGAGGTCTGCCCTTGCTTATATATTGTAATTTGACTATATCTCTAATAAGTGTGAGATCTTTAATGTACACCCTCACTTAAGAACTGGACATCTCAAGCATGGGACTAGATCTTTGTAAGTGGTCTGGTAGTGGT